CAGTCTTCCTCAGCAAAAAAGAGGAAGATGGGCATTGGATGTTAGCTCAGGGCTGGTGCTCCTCACAAAAAAAAAAAAAAAAAAAAAAAAAACCACACAAATACAAGAGCCCCAATCTCACAGTCCAGGATTCCAATTCCATGGGAAAATATCATATCATCTAGATCTATGCTCTCCAATACAGCAGCCACTAGCCACACATGGCTATTTAAGTTAATTAACTTAAATTAAATAAAAAATTCATTTCTTCAAGTCTTACTAGCTACATTCTAGTATGACTAGTGGTTACCATATCGAACCACACAGATATAGCACATTTCAATCATTGTAGAAAGTTCTATTGGACAGTTTTGTTCTAAATGATTTCCCTCATCCCCAACCCTCACCAGATATTACCTGTATTTCTACTTAGTCCTCATTGGGCATTAAAATTATAACTAGTTTTTTTTTAAATGTTTGCCTTTCCAATTAGACTAGAAACTAACCTTTTTGTCTCGATATTCAGCACATAAAAAGAGCTCAATAAATGTCTGTTGAATTGACATGGGCCTCAGAGACCATTCCCAGGGAGAGTCAGATCCCTGACTGAGAATGAGTCAGTCATTACTTAGGATAATGCAATAAAGGCAGAGAACAGACACAAGAAAAATTTACATGGGCCAGAAATAGGACTCCAAGAAATCAAACCTTATATCAGACAAGGTACAGATGCTAAGTGGGAGGCTGAACACTGTCCCTTGGGAAGCCTAAGCATCTCCAAATTTGTCCACAACTGAAGAATCTGTAACACCTCAGGATGCTTCTCTCTTGTTTTCCCTTCACCAGTTCAATTTTCTCTTCTTGCTTAATATTACTATCTTCCCAATCCATTTGGTATCTATAGCTCAAAAAGCAGGTGTTCTAGGCCTTATTCACCAGCTGAAACTACAATCTTTACCAAAAAAAACACAAAACCCGACAAAGAAGAAAAGAAAAACACTCGATCTGCTGTCTACCTCTGTATCACCAGGCTGGGTGGGATTCAGCCTTCGCTTTATGTACATCTAGCACTGGAGGAAAGACAGAAAGACTTCAAGAGACATGGTTCCCTGCAGCAAGGAAAGAATGGCTTTAGGGGCCTGTTACGTGTTTTTTGTGTGTGTGTGTGAGGAAGACTAGCCCTGAGCTAACATCCGATGCCAATCCTCCTCTTTTTCCTGAGAAAGATTGGCCCTGGGCTACCATCCGTGCCCATCTTCCTCCACTTTATATGGGACACCGCCAGAGCATGGCCTGACAAGCGGTGCGTCGGTGCGCTCCCAGGATCTGAACCAGGCCGCCGAAGCAAAGCACACACACTTAACCACTGCGCCACCAGGCCAGCCCTGATCGTTACACATCTAACAGGAAAACCCAATTTCTTCAGCACAGTGAAATAGCATTCAACACCAGATTTGTCTATTAAGAACATTGTCATTTAAACACACATATACAGACAGGAGACAATCCACCATTTGTGAAGTAAACTCCAAAGTCCAAGTTGTACGATAGCTATTGTACAAAGGTTTAGGATAGCAAGAAATGGGATAGTATGTGGAGAATAATATCAAGGGGACAGAACTATCCCTTCCTGGAATAAGATGAAAGGGTTCCACTCAGACACACCTTTTTATACGTTGTCTCTCCAGAGGAATCAACACTTCGGTGGCCTATTTTCTTGATGGGCATGCCAGAGGAACAAGGCACCTAGAAAAAGAAGAGTGAAGATTAGTATGATTCCCAAGTAATACACCATAGAGCTACCGTGATAGTACATCAAAACAAAACAAACCAAAACACTCAATACACCCTTTTTAGGTTAAGAACATTTGATAAAATCTTCAGAAGACCCACCTCATGCAAACACACAATTATAGTGTTGCTTCTCAATGAATTAATTGGCTAAAAGAACACAGAAGAAAACTCCAAAGGACACATATTTCACCTATGGTCCTCAGAAAGATGACACAGAAAATAAAAATGAGTATCATTACAGAAAAGTAGAAACAGGAGAGGTAGGAAATGGCAGCCCCACAAAAACGGATACACCTCAGCTTACAAAAGCAAGACAGGTTAGAAGTAGAGTTCCATAGACTCCTTTTTTCACCAGCTTCCTTTCAGAAATTACTACCCCTCTAATCTTCAACCCAACCTGAACACTATTTGCTCAAACTGAATTCACTAGCAGAAATAATCTAGCCACTGACAAATTCAAGTACTACAAGACCAGGAATTAAAATGCTGAGGCAATAAGATGACTCCTCTGAGACAGGGGCCTCAGCGCCCAGAAGAGATCCCTGAGATCGTGATATGGATTTATTTTCCACCCACATGAGAACCCCTGAAATATGGAAGGAGTAAAATCAGTAGAGCAGAGCCTAGAAGGCTATTCCCCAAAGCCATGATGCCAGCACGACAGACATGAAGGTATTCTTCATGACATCAATGCTCATTAAGTTAATAAGCCAGAAGGCAAAAAGACTAGTGGAAAGAGGATGTCACCATCTGAGGGCCTGATATTCAAGTTCCTCTCTTCTTGCTAAGGCCCTTAGTGCCAGAAAACCCTAAGTATATAACTTCACAGATCTTGGAAGATGTTCTAAGAGAAAAGCCTAAAATCCCAGGCCAAAAGGGCCCACATTCTGAGGCCTCTTCACAAAACCCAGGAGAGAGGCAAGAAGTACAAAGAGGGTTGGGAACTACTCCATGGGAAGAAAGGCAAATGGAAGATATTCTGCACAGAAAAGAAAAAGTAGGAAATTAACAGCTTCTGTATGATTAAAAGAAGTTCTTCAAATTCACTAAAGCTACGCAACCAGGCAGCAGAAAAAGCAAACCAAGAGAGTGGGCTTTAGTGTTGGACTGTCTGGGTTTGAATCTCAGCCTTATTAATCCCATTTATTAATTATGTGACCTTCGGCAAGCCATAGCATCTCTAATCCTCACTTTCTTCATCTGTAAAATGTAGATAACAACACACCTCATAGGAGTTGTTTGCAAAATTAAATAAGAATACCTATAAAAGGCACTTAGGTACATTATTTACTCTCTGGTACATTGTATTTGGTACTTTAAAAAATACTCAATAAACATGAGCTATTATTATTATTATTTTTGTGTGTGTGAGGAAGATAAGCCCTGAGCTAATATCCGTGCTAATCCTCCTCTTTTTGCTGAGGAAAACTGGCTCTGAGCTAACATCTATCGCCAATCCTCCTCCTTTTTCTTCCCCCAAAGCCCCAGTAGATAGTTGTATGTCATAGTTGCACATCCATCTAGTTGCTGTATGCGGGACGTGGCCTCAGCATGGCCAGGGAAGCGGTGTGTCGGTGCGCGCCCGGGATCCGAACCCGGGCGGCCAGTAGCAGAGCACGCGCACTTAACTGTTAAGCCACGGGGCCGGCCCTGAGCTATTATTAATATCCATAATAAACTGCAAGGAAAGTAGAGTTTTATAGTCTCTAGCTTACCAAAGAGATGTAAGAACCCTACCTAGCTTCCAAGACCCAAGTAGGAGGAAAATAAAGATGTCGTTAACAGGTATCTTTCTATCCCACAATTAAAGTTCTAGAACCATTATTTATCAGTATGAACCTTACCTCAGATGCCATGGGTCTCTTGATTCCAGATGCTGTTAAAAAATAAACAAAACACAACCATAAGTGTGTACACACACACTCACACAATCTCTATCAAGCACACTGAAACAATCAGGGTTTGAGTCAAACTAAAACTGACAATGAGCTCCTCCCTCTTGGTCTGTGATACCAGATCCTTCTGGATAGCCATTTTAAAAGCCCCTTCCTCTTCCTCCTCCATACTCACAGAGCCCTTATGCATATTCCATTCTTGTTCTAGTCTCTTTTCTTACTCAAGTGTTCATATTTCCTCTGGGAAATATATCTGTTCTTGATACATTTAACCATCCAAGTCAGTGTGTCTCAACTGATACCATGGCTGAAAGACGAAGGGCATAAGAGATATTTTAGACTCACTGGAGAGTCTGGGACTTGATTAATAATCTTTCCTGTAGAGCTAAAAGGGTAAGAACTTTTAGAGCATATCTAGGGTGCTTTACTCCTCTAGTAATTATTTCAGGAAAAAAGGTAAAGAGTTGGTCTATGGAGATGAGAAGGCTAAGGATGAGAAAATGCAATGTCGAAGTAATGAAGAGGTATTCTGTGCGGGCAGAAACTCATTCGGCATCCCTACGTCCTCATCTTGATTTCTGCTGTAAACTCAATATGAATTTGTTGGCGTTTACTTACTAAAGTAAGGTTTATTTACTAAATATTGAATCAGTGCAGATGTGTAACATAAGCATGTAGCTGAATCTCGTATTATTCATGACTTTCATCCATTTAAGTTTAGGAAAGATTTCAAGAATAAGTATGTGTTTTGGGGTTTTTTTATTTTATTTTATTCTTTTTTCTGTGAGGAAGATTAGCCCTGAGCTAACATCCGTTACCAGTCCTCCTCTTTTTGCTGAGGAAGATTGGCCCTGAGCTAACATCCGTGCTCATCTTCCTCCACTTTATATGGGATGCCGCCACATCATGACTTGACAAGCGGAGCGTCGGTCTGCGTCCGGGACCCAAACTGGCAAACCCCAGGCCACCGAAGCAGAGAGTGCAAACTTAACTGCTATGCTACTGGGCTGGCCCCAAGAATAAGTATGTTAAGAAAGTGACTAAAAGACTATATCTATAGAAAATCTACTTTGAAAGGTTAAATCAATTCTTAAGGGTTTGCCATCCCCATAACTTTCATCCATGATCATCTCAGAGACACATGATCACTCAGGGAGACAGACTTTCCTCTCCTTCATACTGGAGAATGTTCGCCTTTATCTTCAAAGACTACTGATATATCACTTCAATCTAGTTCTACAGAATTCAAAGGGAATAAACATTAGCCATATTAAAGAAAATTAAAAAGAGGAGTCAAAATGGGCTGGATCTTCAATAATATAAGTTAATACCTGACTAGGAAGACCCCAATTCCAGTCCATATATAAGGTTTAACGATGAGGCAGCAACAGAGACACATGGGATTAAGAGCAATCAGGTAAAGTGCTAACTATGATTGTTTAAGACAAATGATCAAAAGCCCTGCGAATTTCAGAATATAGTTGGGCTCAGAGGAAAGGTTATGATAGCCCCTAGTAGTACAAAAGCCACAGACTAAGTATTTCTGGTGCCAATAAGCAGAGCAGCAAAATTTCCTTCCCTATGGTGAGTCAGTATGGCAAAATATGGGTAACAGATGGTTTTCATTCCTCTTCCCAAAAAAGGAGGCAAGGGAAATGTCATCTAGCTGTTAGAAAGATGTGCTGCATAAAATGACCCAGAAAATTGGGAAAACAGCAGAGCCCAATTATCTACACCTTTCATAGGATGCTTCATCTTTAATCAGGTTGACTTCAGCTGGATGAAAGACTAGGTAAATTAGGACTGGAATCCTAAGCTAAAGCTTCCAAGAAACAATAAGCCAAGATGACTCAGATTTATGATTAAAACTGCTACTGACTTACTGCAAAATTTAAGGCGTCCACAAACAAAAAAAACAGTCAAACCTTTTTATATCTTACAACCTTTTAGCCAAGGGTCAACATGCTGAGCTATTTAAAAACCAGAAGACCTGGGTTCAAATTCCTGTTATATTAGGTAAATTGTTTTCTATATTTAACTTAAAAAAGAGGAACCTATACTGGAATGTTTATGTAAAGATCAGATGAGATAGGCTACATCAAAGTACTTTATGGACTGTAAAGTGCTATACAAATATGTTGTCATATGTGATTTCTTTTTGTGTGTGTGTGTGTGTGTGTGTGTGTGTGTGTGTGAGGAAGATCAGCCCTGTGCTAACATCTGCCCATCCTCCTCTTTTTTTTGCTGAGGAAGACTGGCCCTGGGCTAACATTCGTGCCCATCTTCCTCCAATTTACATGGGAGGCTGTCACAGCAGTGCTCGGGGCACGCCCGGGATCTGAACCAGCCAACCCCAGGCTGCCGCAGTGGAGCATGTGCCCTTAACCGCTTGCGCCACCAGGCCGGCCCCTGTCATATGTGATTTCTAATGCAAGAGCAAAGTTGGGCCCACAGCAAGGTTTAATGTTCAATTACCTTGAACTTCATGAAATTCTAATTAGCATCTCAAAGTACTTGGCTCTTCCCAAACTCTTCAGCCTCCCCACCCCTCAAACATACCCTCTGGCAAGTGCACACACGCCACTACAGAATCAGTGATTCTCAATGAGGAAATCAGTATTCTTTCAGTTGAGAAAACAAACACTGATTCTGGACTCCCTGGTCAGTGCTTGCCCTATCTCTTTTCTTTTACTGCAGAGGAAGAGGTTTGGAAGCGATCTGGCAGAACCAAGAAAAGCCAACATCCAGTCCTAGCCTGACAGTCTCACCTAGAAAATAACCTCCTCTGTACGCAAGAAGTCATTGGACAAAGTCAAGTTATAAACAATGGAGAAAAAAAGCAGATAAGTGATTTCAAGGCAGAGAGTAGGTTTGGGGCTTTCTTACCCCCTAAAAAGTTCTACTCTGCTATCTTTGCTAGTTTTATCACACAAACATGTAGCTCTAGGGCTGCTACACTCTTGCAAAGTACCAGAATAACGGTGGGAGGACTTCAGTCAGTGGAATTTTGGGCCAATTGCTTAGCTATCTGCAATTGCAAAGCTGGGATTAATCCCAAGAACACTAGAGCTGAAACAGTTAGAAAGATATTGGGGTCTAAATAGTAATAATCAGACCAGGGAGAAGGAGAATCAGGACCCAATTACTCTCTTCCTTGCCTGCAGTTTTGCCCCTAGGGTACAGACCAGAGCTCCAACCTACCAAAGAATGGAAGGGAAGAGAAAAATACCTAGAGAATTTTACCAATGTTGCTGTAACATCCAGCTTGGTCCAGAAACCCAACGAAGAGTAGAGACATTGCAGAGAACCAGGTACCATCTGCTAAGGCTTGACCACTTGGCCCAAGGCTCTGCCAATGAGAAACTGTCTGCTGAGCAAGTCCATGAGACTGAAGACTCACCAGCATTGTACCTGTTCACCTCATAATCAAGTTTTCTTTTCTATAAGTACAGAAAAAGGAGGAGGAGTGGAGGGAAGTGAAAGAGGAGGAGAAGTGGGAAAAAAAAGAGAAAGAAAAGAAGACCAATTCAGCATGGCAACACCCGCTTGGTAATGCCAGCCAGCCAATGTTTAAAGGGAATGAAATTCATCCCTATGGATAAGACTAGAATATTGGTCAACAGAAAGTTTGTTTTCTAGCACCTTCGTGAAAAATACTCTCTGATAAGGATATATTGTCATCTTATAATCCATATCCATGATCTGTATATATCATCCTTTTTTGGGGTGGGGAAACTGAGTATAAAGCAGAGTTCCAATGTTAAAATTTACTTTTCTCAGAGAAAAACTTTTCTCCTTAGGAATTTGGAATCTGCCTCTTCCCATCTAAGCCAAAACTCTGAAGGACTGTTATTAAAATGCCTACATTATCATCAGTCCACACTAGGAAACGTGGCATGTGCTACAAGAGAGGACAGCACATTACCCAAGGGTGGGTATAGACGCTGACAGCTTGACTATAAATGCTACAGAGAAAGTCTTGGGCCAGCTTCTCCTCACTCGTTCAATTTTAACACAACTCAGCACCAGTTCAATGCTAAATTATTTCTGTCTCCCCATTCATTTATTCAACAACTATTTATTGATCATCTGTTATATGTCAGGAATTATGCTAGACACAGTTATATGTTCCTGACCTGGAGGAGCTTAAAATATTTCTGCTTTTTTCTTCATCACCTTGGCATCTCCACATTCTCCTACTTCTCCCTAATGCTGACCATAAGACTAAATTGAAATGCTTATAGGTTTTCAGAAAGGTTATTTCTTTCCACTAGCCAAATAATTTATATTTGCATAGCACTTTAAAAGCTTACAAACATATCTTGTTTGGCCCTCAAAACAATACCATGGGATGTGGGAACTGTTTTAATTAAGGACTTGAGACATATTCACCAAATATAATGTGTGAAACTTGTTTGGATGCTGATTAGAAAACAAACTAAAAAGATTTCTGAGACAGGAGCCTCAGGAGGAGAAATTATATAACTACAGTCACGGCATCACTTAACGACAGGGATACATAGTGAGACATGCGCCGTTAGGCAATTTCGTTGTTTGAACATCATAAGAGTGTACTTATAGAAACCTAGATGGTACAGCCTACTACACACCTAGGCTATACGGTACTAAGCTTATGGGACCACAGTCATATACGTGGTCCATCATTGGCCAATACATCGTCATGCAGCGTATGACTGTATTGTTCATTTTCTCTGTTCATGTGATAAGGCTGCTGTGGTTGTTACAACTTCCTCCCTCCTTTCCCCCCAAAATAAGAGTCCTTATCTGGAGAAATATATTCTGAAGTATTTACGGCTGAAATTACATGAAGACTGGGTTTCCAGGGAGTGGAGGTGGGGAATGGAGAATAGTTGCAAGAAGATTGGCAAAATGTTGCTGTTGAAGCTAGTTGATGGGTACATGGAGGTTCATTATACTATTCTCTCTACTTTGTGTGTGTCTGAAAAATTTTATAATTATAAGTTTAGGAAAAGATACCACAGAAGAAAAGAAAGCAAGTCTAGATAATCAATCTTCATATGAGCTGGCTTCTTTTGAGTGGTTTTCTCCGGCAAAAGTTAAGTATCAAGGATGAAGTTCTAACAGCGAAACTGTTTTTATATTATACTGACTTTCCAACTCATGCCCATAGTTTGTTTCCTTCCTGACTATGGGACTCCTATTTATTAATAGGTCCAGGACCAAGAAGCATTCTAAACAACTTAATGTTGCTTTACTTTGGAAGCAAAAAATAAAGCTATGACAAACAGGCTGCATCAGAAAAAATAATGGTTCAAACAACTTATTTCTGAGTGGGTCAACAGATGATAACAGAGGCAACAGATTTCAAGCCCTAGTTCCTCTGTGAAAAGAAGAAAAAGTAAAAGATCTAGAGAAGCAACAGTGTACTCACTCTGCGAATTTTTTTTAATTCTTGCCAGATCATGCTCAGTCTGGCTGAAATCTATACCTGTTAATGAAAGTTGACTTTTAAATAGAACAAGTTGAGAACTTAGCTCCTTCAGCCACAAATAAAGCTATTTGCCCATTTTCAAGCTAACAAATCACTAACCATTTATATTATTAAAAAATTATTCAGAAAGGGGCTTTGAGATATTTAGTCTAATTTTTTTTTCCTGGTGAGGAATTGGCCCTGTGCTAACATCTATTGCCAATCTTCCTCTTTTTGCTTGAGGAAGATGGTCCCTGAGCTAACATCTGTACCAATCTTCCTCTACTTTGTATATGGGACGCCGCCACAGCATGGCTTGATGAGCGGTGTGTAGGTCCGTGCCCAGGAGGAGAACCCGTGAACCCCGGGCCACTGAAGCCAAGCACGCGAACTTAACCACTATGCCACCGGGCTGGCCCCTCTAATCCTCTTTTTATAAGTAAGAACACAGAGCATAAGGGATGTGTTCAAAATCACAAAGCAAAGGCGGTAACAGAGCCAAAATTCCTAAACTCACATTCCTAACCCCCAATTCAACTCTCTTCTAAACCATCTTTTGCTTTCAATTTCCTGGCCACCTAGAGCCTAGGTAGGAAAAGACAACACCAAGGGAACAAGAATGCTCTAACAAACTAAATAAATCTCTGAATTGCAAATGGACAATAAGAACACGTATTTTCTTCCCTTGAGGTACCCTCTTCCCTTGGGACAAGGAAATCTATTTTCCATTTTCACTGATAGAGGACTAAGAACAGAGTCCTCCTTCAGTTCCTCTCAATGAAGTTAACAATAATGACACTCTATTCTTTTGGCAATAGTCACCAATATCACTGGCAAAAATAACAGAAAAAGTACCTTCCACTTCTTTTAATGAGATTCCTTATTCTGAACCAGACAATGCCAGTATTCTAGAGGAGCAAAAATTGTCTTTCAAGTCTGATAGTTGAAAGAGCAATTTCACAGTTGTACAGATGTTAAGGTAGTAGCAGAAAGTACCTTTTTGTCTCTGTAATAAGACATCAACAACTTTAACAGAGAAAAAAAAAAGAGCTCCATTCATCTTGGATTAGAGTTTTCTTTTTGGTGTATGCAGGACCATGACTTGCTCTGCTTAAAAGCATAAGGTTTACAATTACTGAATTTGCAATGGACAAAAAAGAGGGCATCTGATAGGCAAACTCTTTTGTTTGTTTTGTTTTAGGATCTTGGAATTGACTGCAGAATCAGTTACCAATCCTTGGAATAAGCCCACATTAACTTCTAAAAATATTTTCTAAAAGAATGATCAATAACTCCACATATTATGCATGGAGGAGCTCAGAATTTTGTTGCTTTTTTAGGAGAGCTAAGGTCAGAAGGGGAAGTTCCTTTCTGTACTATTCTCTTCTTCACCAAGGACTCCTGGTTCAGTTAGTACCCATTCAACAATAAATATTTAATCTGCTTTAAAGTCAAGTTAGTTCACATACAGACTCAGATTAGTGAGGGGAGCAATAACAGCATAGTGGGTAGGAATGTGGATTCTGAAATCAGAACACCTACGTTTGCTAGGTTTGAATACTAGATCTACCATTTACTAACTAGGTAACCTTGGACAAGTTGGTTAAAACTCTCTAGGCCGTGGTTACCTCAATCTATAAAATGGAGAAATAATAACATGTAATTCATAGGGT